ATAAAATACTAAATTGATGAAAAATAAGAAACCCAATTCACAAAGTAAAGGGAAAAGTAGTGGTGATCTAATGAAATACTATCTTGGAAGTCTACACTGAAAAAACTTCTCTATGAGAAGGTCTCAATATACATGTCTTAAAATTTATGGAAATTCTTAAGCTTTCTGCATATGCAATAGTAACAATAAATGAAGTGAAAAATAAAAAATATATAATATCTACACTTCTGACAAAAATTGTTTTGAAATATTTACTGCAAGTCATAAAGTATTTCAGAGAATATATAATGAAAATTCAAAACCATGATGTAAGTAATTAACACATAACAGAGTCTCAAGTAGATTGGCCATGTAATTACATTATCTTCCATAAAAGGCGATTCAAATCAGTGCGAACACAAGATCACTTAGGTTACTAATTTCTAAATAAAAATGGAAAAATACAACTATAAAACATGAGAAATAGAATGGAAACTTAAATATAAATAAGATTTGATATAATACATTAAATTTTCTATCCTTTCTACTTTTAAAAAGCATTTCTAGTGGTTTTATGTTTTTAGCACACTTTAACAAGTAAATCAACAAAAAGCACATTTTCTAATTCAGCAGTCCACTTGCAGGGATGGGGGTCAAAGAGCACCCCCCAGAAACCATGGGTAGGATGGGGCCGTTACAGTGGTGCTTTGACAGTATGGCTTCAGCTTCGACTTCCAGCAGCTGTCTCTGAATCATACTGACTGGCTGTCCCAAGCACGTTTCCCTGAGTACATAAACCAGCAAACCCAGTCATGCGGTTATGTGAACCTGTTCACCAACAACTTGATACTACGAATGTTACCAACCCCTGCAATGTGGCACACATCTTTGATACTGGCCAACAAGTACATTACAGACTGAAGTTCAGTGTAGTCACTTTTTAATTCCTCTATTTCTGATCCAAATGGCATGGATCTGTTGGGTTTTACTTGCATCCAGGTCTACACTTTTTGCTCCAGAGCAAAAGCTCTTCAGGGGGCTATAGTATGCAACAAGGTCAATAAACACTTTTCTAAACCCAAGTCTCAACATAAATGTACCAATAAAAATACTGAAAAACACAGAAATCGTCGTAAGTTCATAAATACATAAAAAATGAAAAAATGACAACTGATTTACTAGGAGAATTTATGAGCAAGTGTTCAACTTGCTGCCTATTACTGCTTCCAGGAATTTTTTTATTCTACTATTGATTAGATCTAATTTTTCCTCCTTATCTTTGTGAAATCCTGTGTTAGAAATCGGGAACAAAACAAAACAAAAAATAAGACTCTCACTCAACACACATTTAAAATATTGATCACTATTTCCATAGTCTAATTCTGAAGTATTTGTGATATATCTAAAATATCTCAGAAGCAAGTAAGAATTATTTCTTTAACATAAATTTTTACATATTAAAAGTAGGACATAAAACATTAGTTACTAAGATTCTTTTAAAAGAAAATAATCTTGTATGATTTGCCACTTAACAATGGACTTTCATTACTGGAGATAAAGACTTTTTTTTTTATTTTTGGACCTGTCTCCTTAGATTCAGCAAAAGTCCTAAATTCTGTTATGTGTATGGGCTGTATATGGATACCTTAATACATACTGAAAATTTAGTGATCTGTATTAAACTGTTTATAAGCAACTGTAGAAAATGGTATTTCTACATCACTCCTTTAAAAAGTTAAATCAAAACAGTTTCTAGCTTATAAGTCTTAAATTTGATTTTTAAAAATTTTACCAGTCATTCTATAACTGACACCTGATTATTTCTCAAATGCTTTTTGCCTGGCACTATTTAGTAAGTAGCCGCTAGCCACATACTCAGTACTCCTAATACTGTTGGTCCGAACTGAGAAGTGTTTGGTGCAAAATCCAAGCAGATTTCAAATACCTAATTTTAAAAAGTCATGTAAAGTACAGTATCTCATTTTCATGTTGATTAAATGCCAAAATATTTTAAATGTCTTGGTTTAAATATAGTATGTTACAATTTATTTTACCTGCTTCTGTTTGACTACTAAAAACGTTTAAATTACACAAGACTTGGATTAACTGTACATTGGACAGCACTGACTACCCACTAATTTATATCTTCATATATTTCTCAGTAATTTTTTTGATTTCTCAGGAATTTGATCACTAGTTATTACATCAAAATTTAAATATCTCAGATTTGTTTCTAATTAAATTATTCATTTAATTTTGAAGCTGAGAAAGGCTCATATACTAGAAAATCATTAAGATAAATATCTAGCCAGGCATGGTAGTACATGCCGTAATCCTGGATTCCCAGCACTCCAAGAGGCTAAATAAAGCAGGAGGATGGCAAGCTCAAACCCAACCTGATGACTCAAGACTTGGATCCTGTCTCAAAAATAAAAAATAAAGGGCTTGGGATATAACATAGCTCAGTATGAATGTCCTAGATTCAAACCTCAGTACTGTAAACAGGAAGGCAGGCATGCATGCAGACCTGGCTACTATGGTACAGGATTTTATAAACCAAGTTCACAGTTCTTTAGATGGTATTATCACCATGGTAGTAATCACTAAAGAATCGATGGCATGGCAAAGAAAAATACAGAAATGTCAATACTGTTAAAAATCAAAAAATAACTAAAAGCTAAGTTTCTCATCACAATCATTGCCATGAAAATCTAACTCAATTTTTACCCAATCTCAATTTTTATCCAAACATTCTGTAAATGTATCACTAAATTAAAACAGAAATTCAGGGGCTGGGGACTTAGCTCAGTGGCATAAGCACCTGCCTTGCAAGCAAGCAGGAGGTCATGAGTTCGATCCCTGGTACCAGGAAAAAACAAAAACCAAACAAACAGAAATTCAACACAAAATTACCTGGTATCAAAGAAATTCATTTAACAAAATAATGGACTTTAGTATTCCTGATGTACACTCATTCCTGTTATGTAGAGAGTATTATGGTTCCAGTGCCTCAGGAATGAAGGGCCATCTTCAATACATACTACACAATAACAAATGGCAGTACCGGCACAAGCCCTGAAGCACCCAGAGAAGAAATGTTGCTATACAATAAAAACCAAAATTGGAAGACTAAAAGGACAAAGGAAGAAAAATATGGCCTATGAACAGCTTATGAATTAGCATCAAATAATTAAACAGCAATAAGAGAGGGGCAGCTAGTAATAAAATGCCAAATTTGGTAAATGACATAATATAGAGAAGCAACAGCAAATATTAGGGTGTGACTTATAAAATGAGATAAGGTAGGAAAGAAAAAATATACATATACAAACACACACAAAAAAGTCTGAAATAAAAGTCAACAGGAAAAAATAGTCCAGGATTAGGAATTTTAGCATGTTGCAAGAACATTTGCATAGTATGCCCATAAAGTTTGATTCAAAAAAAAACAAGTCCCAATGCATTGGATCTAGTTTCTGTTGGAACAAATCTCCAAAAAAGGAAAGATATCGTAAAATTCAATAGAAAAATTGATGTAGTATCTTTTAAGAAATAAAAATAACTAAACCGAAAGTAAATTTGAAATTCAAATTTCTACTGCTTGTTTAATCAGAACCACATAGTGATTACATAATTATTTTATTTTTCAAAAAAGATTTACTGAGAGAAGAAAACTCTTGGTGCTACAGTTATAAATGTTAAAAGAATAATTAAGAGAAAAAAGCAAATATAAATATATTTTGGTTTCCAGCATGTCTTTGCCATAAATAGCCAAATTTCATATGTCACTGATATAACAACTTATCTCTAGATAGTAATAAAATATATCTGAGATTTATTTAAAATAAATTTCACATTAAAATAAAAGAACTTTTTAACTAGCTTTCTAACATGGAAGTTAGTGGATCAAGATTAATTTATTATTCCTTTAAAAGTCAGGCTGTAATTGCTAGGAGCAAATTCTAACTTCTTATTACTGTAATGATTAAAACATCTGTCTACTGTTTGGTCTCTTGTTATTTTAAAAAACATGTCAGTAAGTAACAACTGTGTAGAACAATGAATGATTACTAGCTATAATATGTTCATTTATTCATAGTCTCACTTAAATCATATTTAAAAATTTAGCCTAAAAGGTAAAATTCACAGTACTTAAAATAATAAGAATACTTTTCACTTCATGAAGATCAACAACACAATTCTAACACTTTTTCCACAAAACTACTGAAATAATTAGCTTGGGGAAAAAAAATCTGAAAAAGTTAGCAATCAATAGAAACACCAAAAAGATAAATTCTCCAGCATAAAAAAACTCCTTTTATAAATCTTAATGCTTATGTAGCTAAAAATATATCAATAAACAAAGGAGATAATAAGTATTTGATAAATACTGTGTATACAGAACTTTACAGGTTTTTTTTTTTTTTTTGTCTTTTTCATTTTTATCAGTACCAGGGATCGAACTCACGACTGCCTGCTTATAAGGCAGGCGCTTATGCCGCTGAGCTAAATCCCCAGTCCCAACTTTACAGTTTTAAATAACCATAAAAAAATTTTAAGTGCTTCCTATGAGAAACTATAATCAAATAAATCACATTGCTATGTAACAACTAAGTTGAAATTCCAAATATAATTTTTAATTTCATAAATTACATTCTCTATAGGCAGGCATGGTGGTACATGCCTATAATCTCAAGTTCTCAGGAGGCTGAGGTCAGAACATTGCTGCAAATTCAAGGCCAACCTGCACTACAAAGTGAGTGCGAGGCCAGCCTGAACAGCATAGTGAGATCTATTTTAAAAAAAAGTCATCCTCACAAAGGGAAAAAAAATTACATTCCTTATTTACAGCATTTTCTGCATAATTGCAAAAACACATAAGTCAACATTGTGTCCGAATTCCCTTGGATGACAAAAGAGGTTGGCCTCCAAATCAAAGCTACAAGAACAATTACTTATTTCACAAAACTAGTAACTGTCCCTAATACTGATTTCTGTCAGTATCATTAAAATCACCCTACCTGTTTGGATCGTGGTCTACCAGGAGAAAATTTTCTTTTGGTAATAGCTGGTTTACCCATGCCAATTTTTGGAGTCACGGAGATGTAAGTTGTTGGCATGATGTTGCCAGAAGAATTGAGAGTTGAAGAGTAACTATGCAGCATGTTATGTGAAGGCAAGTCTAAACGAAGTGTTGGAGAGGAAGACACATTTGTCTTGCCTATGTCTGGTGAAAATGAGGACTCTACCTCAGTTGGTAATTTTAAAGATTTATCTCCCAGGCATAAACCATCTTTCACACAACTCTCAACTGCAGAAGTCATTTCAAAATCCATGAACTCCGTTGAAAATTCAGAATTTTCTTTCTGTTCTATTTCTTCATGTAGTCTTTCTGTAATCAACTGTTCCTTAGAACATGAAGTACTTTCCTCACTTGGGGACACTAAGGCTACTGGTGGAACAGTGACAGATTCAACGCCTGCTGCTAGAGGCTGAGCTGCTTCTTTGCATATCACCCCCTGAGGATCAGGTAACAACTGTAGTTCTTGCTGTACAACAATCTGGTATGTAGGGGCATCAATATTTACTGCCACTTCCATTTTGTCTTCTTTTTCATCTTTATCATGAAGATGTGTCCTTTTAGAAGGTAAGTCCATTTTTTCACAAACAACTCCACAAGAAAGCTCATTTTCCAATTCAGAATTCACTTTATTTGGGGATGTTTCTATAAAATTCAGAGAATACTTGTTATAGTAACATACAACACTTTAAATGTTTACCTATGAATAGGTATAAAATATTTGGTTTGAGTCATCACTTACATGAAAAGGTATTCATCAAGGGGACTATTCAGTTAAAAAAGCCAAACTCTACAGAAATTTATGGACTGAAATCAAATGTACACCTTCTAAAAACATGCTTTAATAGAATCCCCTCAGTTTCAGTAATTTCTAGTAAGAACTCCAAAAGAGAATTACTAATTGTAATACACATGTATGATGTTTTTCAATTTGAGCACTTAAAAAGAGAAGTATATTTGTGAAATTATTATATTCATCTTATAGCTAGGAAAAGGAAAGTCACTAGTAATGTATGAGCTATTTAAATTCAAAGGTGAAGAATGGACTTCAATGTAAAAACATTTTGCAGTTATTCAGGTATAAAAAAAGCTTTACACAGATGAAAAATGAGTACAGAGCACAGGCAGAAAATACTTTGTAACAATCAACTTATTTTGCTTATTAGCTGTAAGTGCCAATCTACCTAAGACATACTTTGATCTTCCTTATTACCATAACCTAAGAAATTAATCTTAGCAAATCTATATAAACACATTAAATAATGATATATATAGTGTTATGGTTTAGACGTTAAGTGTCCTCCAAAAGCTTTGTGTTTGGAAGGTGACTGAATCATGGGGGTGTTGCACACATCAAAGGATAGCCAGCTGAACATGGACTGAAACCATGAACCAAACAAACTTCTCCTCCCTTAAATTGGCAAGGAAAAAGTAATTGAAACAGATATGAGTGACTATAGATGATATTGACACAAATACATAATTGTAAATTTGAAATCTGAGTACTAGTGTACTAAGCCTATAGGCCAGGCCCCAGTTGGTATAAGCCCTATGTGACTCTACAGAACAGAACTGAAGATAAAGGGCATTTATTCCAAATGTCCTCATGGTAATATTTAAGGTATACTAATAAAGTCACTAATCTCCTTCATTATCTGTTGATCACTGATTAATATTTGACTATGCTTTGATACAAAAATCACATCTCATGCCTGCTTTACTGAGAGACTAAAGTTGAGGATAAAGGAAACACATCAAAGTAGCAGACTGGATAGTACTTAATATTTTTAAAGAAACAAAAAATCTTAATAGACAAACTGTCAATTGTCAATTCAAGAGAGTTTCACTTGACTCAAAGATCTAGTTACCATTAACTGTGTGAACCAACTGCAAAAACTGTCTTTACAACAACTTATATGAAAAGTTAATTTAGCTGACAATTTCCTAAACCTCATAATAACCATAAAAGGACTAGCCTCCAGCTCTAACACACTAGACAGCTGAAACACAAGCTTACCAGAGAGGAGAAGGCAATCTTTGTCAATACCTTCCGGCAGCTTATTCTTCTGCTGCTCTTCAGTGTGGATGACTTGAACTGTCACAAATAACAAATTATTTGGTCTATAGCAAGGAGTCAGAATTGCACTAACATTGTTTACACAACAATAAACATTGCCCTCAAAACAATATGAATGAGAGTTTTACCTTACCACAAAATACCAATTTCCAGCATAAGCATAAAACATATGTATTACTAAGTGGCATATAAAGATAAGATTAGGAATTTATATATGCATAGTAGGATTTAATGTAACTATTTAATCTTCCTCACACAGCATCTTTGTGAAGTTTTCTGTTGTTATAATGGCAGTATTGAGAATTAAACTCTGGGCTTTCATATTGTACTATATCCCTATACTACTATTTTTATATATTTTTTTTTTTCATTTTTGAGACAAGGTCTTGCTAAGTCACTAAATTGTACAGATTGAGCTCAAACTAGGTAATCTTCTGCCTCACTACCATAGCCTCCCTTGTAGCTGGGATCACGGGTGCAAGCCACTGTGCCCAGAGAAGTAAAACTATTATCAATGAGTTGTTAAATATGGACCTAGCACATTTCAAAAAACCCAAGACCTTTAAACTATATAATTTAACAACTTCACATATAATATCACACTTTCAAATAAGCCCATGATTTACTAGTTTTACCTCAAATGTCTTATTAATTCTAGATCTTCAAGTACAATAAGAGCTATTATCAATACTATAAAAATCCAATTGAAGTATCACTGAAATTATCCTCAACTGGACTACTGATATGGTCTAATACAATAAAATTTTCATTATCTCAGCATGAAACACCCCAAAGTTACCAAAAACTCATAATTGGCATATGTAAGAACTAAAAAAAAGCTGTATGGCTTTTGCAATGACAATCACTTGATCATTAAATACAGTACATGCTTATGATTAAATCTGTATAACTAATGCTGAACTGTCAGTATACACAGTACATGATATTTTTCCTATTAATTTGTGCCTAAGACTATCTTTCTAACTTTAAGCAGTTTCCAAAGTAACCATATCCTGGCCAACTTTTACTTATGTGCTCAACTTTTAGTATGTATATGCATATTCATTATATACATTGGCCTCAAAAATAGACTATATGCATCAACACAAGCATCTTACCATCTGGATCAATTCCAGGTACGGACTCCTGATCACTGACATCTTTATTAACTCCTTGCTCCAGAAATACCATTTGCTCTTCAGTTCCTCCAACTTCCATTTCATTATTAGAATCTTAGGAGAAAATTATTAATTCTTTAGCTCAGAAATTTTTTGTTTTGTTAACTAAGTCAGCAATTATAGTCTTGTTCTGGTAAGAGTAAATTATCAGAAATGACAAGTTCTTCTTAAGATTTTTCTATTTTAAACCAGGTATTTACATGTTTAAAACATGAAAACTGCAACGTATTGAAATGCAACTGTCAACTAAGTATGTATCTTACAGGCTGGGGTAGTAGCTCACTGGCAAACAAGACCTGGGTTTGATCTCTACCATATTCAAAAGAACAGCCCAAAAAATTTACTTTTCACCAACTAGAATGATTCCAGGTATAGACTCCTGATCATGGTGGACACTTTTATTAACTCTTTGTTCCAGACTAATGTATACTGGGGGGGGGGGGGGGGAGACAGAGAGAGAGAGAGAGAGAGAGAGAGAGTGTGTGTGTTTTATTTAATGTAACTGGTTTTCGCTACATGTATGTACAGTACTGCTGGGAACTGAATGCAAGGCCTCAGAAATGCTAGCCAAGAGTTCTACCACTGAGCTATAGCCCCCATTCTTTTTCCATTTTATTTTCAAACAGGGCCTTGCTAAATTGTCCAGGCTGATTTCAGACATGAAGTCCTCCTGCCTCAACTTTCCATGTAGCAAGAACTACTGGCATGCACCACCATTTTCGTATTTTAAAAGCTTATTCATTCCACTAACGTATACCAATGGTATTGTGGAAATGGAAATGTCAGTAATAAAGATGCTTATATTTGAACCTTCTGTAGGTGATAAAACAGGACTTTTATAAAGGTTACCAATGACAAAATGCAATACAAAATAATATGGTCACCCCCTAAGAATCTTGCTATTGTGTTTATAACAACATGATACAATCAAAAGTACTGATTGTACCTAAATGAAATTTGGGGTTCAAGAGGTGACAATAAACATTTAAACAGGGTGTTCGAAAACAAACCTTGTTTAGAGCAAGATAACCCAGATTATGAAGAACAAACATGACAGCCCCATAGCTGAGGAGCTGCTAGCCCAAGCAGCACAGAGAAGAAAAGCACACCAAACTAGGAACTCAAGCAGTAAAAAAAAAAAAAAAAGACATCGGAAAGATGATGGTTTTGACCTTAACCATCACTAAGACAGTGAACACACTTAAAGGTATAGAAACTAAGAATAAGATGGGATCAGATACACAGAATTACTCCTAAGTAATATGCTGTTAACTAGCTGGTACATGTTTATAGTAAGAAAACAAAAATAAAAATTCCCAACTTACCTGTAGCAGGTTCAGCCATCTCCATTTCATCACCTGGCTGTAATGGGTCCATCTCAGCTCCTAAGTGTTTACAATACATGCAAATATACTCTTCCTTGAGCTGAGAATCCAGTTCATGATCTGTTGGTTTGTCACATTCTAAGTGAACCCATCTGCAGTAATAAGTATATTTAAATAAAATTTTCTAATTTAAAGTCAAAGTTAGTATCTACGGAAAGGAGAGACAACTGCTAGAAAACTGGAAAATAAAAGGATTTGGCAACTGGCAAAAGTTTTCAAAAGGAACCTGGCATTAGTTGATGTTCTTAGAGGTACTGACATATTTTTACTTCCATATTTTTAAATACTCTCCTCTTTTCCTTCTTAATGCTCATTTCTGGTGAGATGTGATGATGTTAAGTCCCAAGATATGATAGAATAAATGATCATGTGGATTAAGGGCAAATAAATGAAGTAACTGTGTCTTCTTACCTCTTGCATATATTACAATGGAGCATGTCCTTCTGCAATTCTGGATGGTAGCACTTTCCACAGAAAGGACACAGATTATCCTGCTGTTGGTAACAAGCATCACATACCAGGCAACTATGATGCCACTGAGAACTAGATCGTGTGCCACACTCTACACATATTCTGCAATTCTAAACATCAGGAAAAATAAAAACAAGAAACAGTGTATCTGTAATTACAGTCTGGTGCAAATTTTTTAAAAAATCAATAAAATACCTGTGGATTATACTTTAAGGTTTAATTTTCTTGAGGCCAATTAAAGGTATGTGCTTTTGAAAAAGCAATTTGTTTTGAATGATGTCTGACCACACAAAATTTGCACTAAGACTTCCATGAAAATTTTAATGGGGGAATTGATCCAGGAAAATATTAACATGATAGAAAGAAACCAAAAACATCACACCCCAAACTTGCAAATAAACCATATGCCAAAATCAGGAAGGAGATCTTACAGAATACATCTGTTTAATCCACTACTGCAGAAATCAGGATGCTGCTGTTGTAGTTGCTGTTGTAGTATTTACATTGGCTTCTTAATAGCTTAGAATCTAAAACGAAGATCTCTTGCTAACAAAAAAGTATGATCCTCTTAATGAGACTTGGTATTTCAAATTGTGAAAGTAGTAACTCCACATCAAAATTCGATGACAGGTCTTTATACTGCTTTGAATAGAAAATGATTCTACCTGAGCCACAGTGGAAATGATTATAAAGTACAAAGCCTTACTAAGATCCCTCAAACTCTTTTCTGTGCCTGGTTCACTAGCCTGCTTAAAAATCACAAACACAAGGTTGATAAAGAGAAAACTAGCAAAACCATCAATTAATCTGTTAGTCTTATAGTTACAAAATGGACAGACACACTAATAGAAAAATTCTAAATCAAACAATATCAAACAGACTCTATTATCACATCAAGAAAACAAAACGCTCACTGGGGCATATAAAAGAAGTATAAGAATATATAATTATCACAAAAATGAGAAAAGAAAAAATGGTAAAAAAAACTTTTGTAAATAAGATGGTGGAGGGAGGTTAAAAGGAGAACAGGGAAATGAGAAAAAAAATGGAGTTGTCATACACAGGTACAATTTCCCTATGATCACATTGATCATTATGTACACCTAAAATGTACCATTAAATACAATTTTTTTTAAAAAAAGAAAAATCTATTAAGAAATGCAAGGATTGGGGTGGAAATTTAGCTCAGTGGCCTAAGCACCTGCTTGGCAAACCTGAGGTTATGAGTTCAATCCCAGGACCACCAAAAAAAAAAAAAAAAAAAAGAAAGAAAAAAGAAATGCAAGGATGTCTATTAATAAAATTTAAAATATTAAAAAGTGTAGGATACAAAAAAAAGACAAATGGCCTGGGAATTAGCTCAGCAGCATAAGTGCCTGCCTTGCAAGCCCATGGTTGTGAGTTAGATCCCCGGTACCAAAAAAAAAAAAAGTCTAAGAAAAAATATCCAACAGCAGTATATAAAATTATGCAAAAGGCAGCAGAATTCACACACAAATGATAGTTAAGAAATATAAGAAAATTCCATTCATAACAGTAACAAAATAGAGGCATAAACTTATGAAATGTTCAAAATCTACATGACAAAAAAAGTACACACCATTCTAAAAAGACACAAAACTAGATAAACAAATGCAAAGACATTCATTGGTCTTAGTTAGGGAGTCTTATTTGAGATGTCAGTTCTCCTTAATAAATTTAAGGTGATCCCAACAGAAATGGAAATGGTATTTTTAATGGAACTAGATAAATTGATCATAAAGTTCTTGTATGAAAATAATACGTAAGAATAGCTACAAAAAGCTCTAAAGGGGGTCCAACATCACCAGATGCATACCCTCAATACTTAAAACAGTAAGGGTGCATCACTAAATGGATCAACAAAACAGAAAATTCCAACCACATACAAAATTCTAGTCTGGACTCTCAAGTTTCTGGGCAAAGACAGTCTTTTTTAATGAATGGATTTTTGCAAACTAAATAAAGATATAGCATGGAAAAAGATATACCATGTACAAGTATCAACTTCAAGTGGATCAGAGCTATAAATACAGTAATATCTTGGTTCATGAACACTTCTGTTTGCAAACAATTTGATTCACAAACAAAAGCATTTGGCAAAATTTTGTTTCCGTTAGCAAACTCCACATCAGGTATAAACACGACTATGGCACTCTACCCCCAAATCATGAAACAATTTAAGTCTATAAATCGAGCAAGTACTATATATAAACAATGCAAATGTTTGAAGAGAATAATAACTGCTGTATAATCTTGAAAACGCAGAGAAAAAAAGCCTCTAACTATGACTCAAAAATCTAGAAGCAACTAGGCATGCTAGTACACTCCAATTTAATCCACCACTTGCAAGGCTGAGGCAGGATCATGAGGTCTAGGCCAGCCTAGAACACAGCAAGTTCATGACCAGATGACTACATAATGAGAATCTGTGTGGAAAAAAATCCAGTTGCTATAAATATTAGTCAATCTGACTACATAAACTTCTGCATGGCAAAAATAATAAAGACAAAGGCCAAATTTTTAAAAATTACATCATATAACATATAAAGTGTTATATACACTTAATTTTAATTGATCTGTTAGTCTTACAGTTACAAAATGGACAGACATAGAAAATTTAAATCAAATGTTTCCTGGGAAGGAAAACACCTAACTCTGCAGTAACAGTTGCAACATGGAAAAAGAATTCACAAAAAAGATAAAAACTGATGCTTAATCCTATAAAAAAGTTACCAACTTCCCTCAAAAGAAATGAAGGTTAAAACTATGTTGAAAGTGAAAATACAGGCTGAGGTGTTACACTCAGCAGCATAACTGCTTGCCTGGCAAGTGCAAGGTCCTGAGTTCAATCCCTGGTACCAAAAAGGAAAAGTGAAAATACGAAGGCTAGATGAAAATACTGTGCTGATGTACATTGACAAAGTTGACAACTCTGCATTATGAAAGACTATCCCTATTATAAAGAAATACACACCGAAATATTTTAAAAAGGATTTCGTGTGCATAACTTGCTGTTAAATAGGAGTGGGTAAGAATAGATTACAGTGGTCCCTTAGTTCATGAACTTAATTCTTTGCATGATTCTGGTCACAAATTGAATCAAATTCAACATGCTCAACATTGAACTTATGGGGAAATTCGATTCGGTTTGTAACCAGTATCAGGGAAAGAATTAAGTTCATGACCTGAGGTACCACCGGAGTAGATACTGACACACTGGAAGAGAAGACATGCATAATGACAATTTAAAGAACTGTCAATGGCAGCATCAAAAAATCCTATCAATAACTGAACCTAGATAACTGGCATCATGGGCATGGTTTTTATTCTTCTAACTTGTAAAGTTTAAATTCTTTTCAAATTAAAAAAACTAATACACATTATACTAAACTCAGGAATTCTTTGTGTGTGTGCAGGGATTGAACTCATGATGTTACACACACCAGGCAGGAGCTTTTACCACTGAGCTAATCCCCAGCCCCAAATATGGGAATTCTTGTAACAAGGGCAAAGCAAATGATGGCCAAACAATGATGGTACACAGCAAAGACCTAGCTGTGATGGCAATGCTTTTAGAGCTATTAGTGATGCAAAAAGCCAGCAGCAGCACATGTGCAACAGGTTCACCACTGCCCCAGAGGATGGCACCCACTCTGGCTCACTAGGGAGCATCCCATCTAGACTGGCACTGGTCAGGGCATACCTTCTTCCCCAGTATCTCCAGCCCCTGCTGTCACACAGTGTAAGTAAGCCCTTGAGTGCTTAATTAATGAATGACATGGACTCCAGAGAACCATGAGAGAAATTACAGGAAGAGGGCATCCTTCACACAGCTACAGGAGGGACTTTCCTACGCAAAATCCTAAGTTATACGAGTATTCACTATGTCAAGCATTATGCAGGCCACTTTATATACCTCATCACACAAGCTCCAATACCTTTCAGAAGTATTAATATTCTATATACTGACTTAGGAAAATCTAGTAACTTCCCAAAGAAGGGTATTTAGTAAATGAAAAAAGCTAGAATTTTCCTGAACAGCCCAAGCACTTACCCACTACATTATATATTACTGGCTACATTAAAAGAATTTAAAAAGCATCCAATAGTATTCTCAGCAATACTGTGTAGTACAATTCTGTCATTTTGAAAGAATAGCAGACTATTAGCAATGAACAAAATTAAACAAAAGAAGTCAGAGAACAAGCTGAGAAAGACATGAAGAATTCTACAGAAAGTTTCCAAGATAATGAAAAGCATAAGATTATGAATTAAGAACAAGAAACAATCTATTAAGCGGTTATTACGTTATTATTAGAGTATAAGGAACGTTAAGATTTTGTAAAAAGACAAGTACTATATTTAAAACAAAACAGCAGCAACAAAAACATTCTTCCAGTCCTTTAAATGAGTTTGACAATGGTGAACACAACCAGGGCACAAATTAAACAGTGTAGGACCACGTTAGTAGCTAGATTCTGAAAGGAAGCCCAAAAAATTAAAAATAAAGACTCAAAGTCTTCAGGCAGATAAAAAGAAACATAGTGAAGTAAATAGCTTTTAAAATTCGTATTTTTATCCATAAGCTGAACAGCTCTTGATAAAATGATTTTAGAGTAAAAGTTCCTATGGAAGTTTGAAGGGGACACTTTCTCAGAAATGGGTTTCAGAAAACTGGAAAGATTTTTTTTTAAAGTAAGCAAAACCATGACTCCATTGAAAGTGAAGTTGGGATTAGCAGAGGAAATACAGTTTTTTTGCAGAAGAATATGATCAGGTTTATGGTCTACACGCATTTAACCAAGTTAAAAGAAGAGTGAAAAAAAGGAAAAGTGTTTGCAATGGGTAGGGGAAGGAGAGAAAATTTGTATTTTCAACATTTATAACAACTCACATTCATAAAGATCTGAACTACAAATCAATGCAGGAAGTTAAAGGAACAGAAAACCTGAAAATTAAAGAATCTTTTGCCTTAACCTAGCCAAGCACTTCAATCACAATCAATAATCTAACAGCTCTGTTAAACTTTCAAATGACACAGAAGGAACCAAAGTTAAAAGATATTAAAAGAGCTTATGTGGTCATATTGCCAGGTGAAGCAAAGGAAAGAAGGGGCCAGCTACAGAGGAGAAAGAGTGGTTTTGTAGTGATAAAAAGCAGAAGCTAGGGCCAGGAGTTTAGCTCAGCAGTGTGAGCGCCTGCCTGGCAAGCGCAAGGTATTTAGTTAGTTCCCCAGTACCCCCCACTGCAAAAAAAGCACAAGCTGAGTGCAGTAGTATATGTCTCTAATTCCAACACTCTGGGAGACTCAGACAAGAGGATCTCAATTTCATACTGAGCCTACAAAATTTAGCAAGGCCTTGTTCAAAACAAAATTTCAGAAAAGTTGAGACATATCAGTGTGAAACTACTGAATTCAGTCCCAAGTACCATTTGAAATTTTTTTTAAAAGCACAATATATTAACACTGTCTTTGTCTTCTTACTAAGTTGCAGCGACAAAAATAAATGGGTGGGGGGAATAAGGAAAGAAACAATTACAGAAGTTTTATCAATTTTTAGATCAATTTAACACATCAAATATTATTAAAGCTGGGATGGTAGCGCACGCCTGTATCCCGGCACTAGGGAGGCTGAGGCAGTTGAATCACTGAGATTTCCGGGCTAGCCTAAAGTGTACAGCAAAGCCTTGTCCGAAAGGCCAAAAATTTTTTTTAAAAATTTTAAAAGACTAAAAACACTTTCATCGACCAGTGAAATAACCATTTTTTAAAAACAAATTATTTTTTAAAAGTCAATATTTCAAGTATCAAAATAATTGTTTTGGGCAAGGGATTTAGCTCAGTGGCATAAGCGCTTTCCTTGACGTGCTCGGTTGGGAATTTGATCCCCAGGATCAAAAAAACCCTATATAGGGTAAATTTTCTAAATGAAATTAAATCCAGAATTAATATCTTTCCATATGTCCATAAAATTACAAATACAAAGAAAAAAGTTACATAGTACACTTGGAACCAAAGTTACAAAGGTCAATTTACAGTCTTAAAAAAATCCATAGGAAAAGGAAGATTAATTTTCAACTTCATATTTCAGAAAGTAAAAAGCAAGCAGAGATGAAACATACATTCAGTGAACACATAAGTATCAATATACCAATCTCCCCACAGTAAGTGCTCCTCAGCTCCTCTTTGAGAGAACAGCAGCACCTCTCACTAGGACAGGGACACTACTGAAGTCTCCCAGGCCAGCTTTCTTCATTCAGCTCCCGCAGGCTCCGCCTCCCCGCGCCACACGTGAGCACAGTTACTGGAGGGCTCTGGTTTCCTCAGGTGAGATGATCCTAAGGCTAAAAACTCCCATCATGGGGTCGCAGCTCGAAACTGGAACAGGCTGCGTGTGCCTTAGAGTCAACAGGCCGCTTCCAGCACCAGGTGCCTGTCCTCCTGCCTGAGAGGGCACAGATGAGAACTTTTCCGCATCACCCCTACCCATCCTCAGGACCTGCAGCTATGTCAACCACCTTGCCAAAAAGGCGCATGCAGGGCAGTTCTACAGAGAAAGGCCAGGCCCGGGTCTGGCCACCAGGACGCTAGGCCTCTCTAGCTCCAGAGGAAGAGAGGCAGGACCCCCAAGGCCTGCTGCGGCAGGGTAGGCTCCAGCAGTTTAAGAGGTAGAAGTCAGGGAAGCCTAAGGAATAGAGGAGGATGCCAAGAACATGACACCTGCAGCAGTCAACATAAGGGTCGACCAAGGCCTGGGGCAGACATATACTGTATTCTAGGAGCAAGTCTCTGTGCACTGGGACAAGAATGTGAGGCTGCAGGGAGAACATAGATTTTGGAGAACTGTTTTCTGTGATCCTGAAATTTTTCATAGCAATACTAGTATCAAAATACAAAATTTAACTGACCATCAGTGTAGATTTTGAAATCTGCACTTAACACTTGTATTTATTATGTAGTCTCAAGTGCTGTCAGAAATGGAAGGTTTCCACATAGTAAGATCATGGGGGAGGGAGATGACAAAAACGCAGATGTTTGAATAGCACAAGAATATGCATCCCAGCATCATAAACCACAAAGCACACAGGTAAATCCAGAAAGCAAGTTGAGTGTTCCTGGTCTCATACATATAATTGATAATAGCATACCAGTAAGTTACAATGAGGAACTTAAGTATTTTAGAAACACCTAGATTGATGCCCCACTTATAAATTTCATTGGTGCCACAATGGTGAGTCTGTAAATATAGGCTTTACGAAGCCGGGTGACATTTTATTAAATGTAATGTTCAAAAACCATTTATTGGCACTATCAGGCCTGGTTAACCTGAACTAGTGAAAAAGGGCATGGCATTTTTACATAACAAAATACAATAGTATTTTTACACAAAACCTACAAAAGACCCTCCCCTTTGGCTTAGTGGTAAAGTACCTTGGCTAATACTTAGAGCACAATCTCCAGCACCTCTAGAAAAAAAGGCTTTCTCTACAGCATTACTAAAGAAAAATCTTAAGCACTGAAGTAGACCTGAGAAAACACCTTTTCATTAAATCCAATCTCAGCAACTTAGGTTCAAAGTAAAATTATTTGTTAGGTTAGATCAATATATATTAATTCATTTTTTTACTTTATAAATGCCATTTGGCACTCTTTTTAAAAAATTACTGAAGTCAACAACAGGGAGAATCTAGAGTCCTGAGTTTGTTGGAGCCTACAATCTCATTGAAATGAAAACTAAACAAATAATGTGCTTCCATAGTTCAGAGGAGAAAACCTTTGTTACTCAAATAAATATACATACCATGATGCCACAAAAAAACAGCACAATCTGATATACTAAGTAATAAAGGGGGGAGGGGGGGAATCACTCTATACCATCCAAATCTCAAACCCAAGAACTTCACACGGCATCTAACAAACATCTGAATCAATAATTACTTACTTAAAATTACCACAGGCTTATCATCCCAGCACTTGGAGGCTGAGACAAGAGGATCACTGCAAGTTCAAGACCAGCTTGGGTTACAAAGTGAGCTCAAAGCCAGCCTGAACTGCATAGCAAGATCCTGTCTCAAAAAGAACCACCCCCCGCCACCCCGCGCAAAGTACCAGAGGGGGAGAAGAGCCCAAAAGTTCCACACATGATTCCATATACTTAATGCATGTGTACATATAAGTATATACTAACATAGTTATATATAGCTATAAAATAACTATAAGGAACCTAAGAGTTATTCCATCTAATAACAATGTCTCATGTGTAAAACCCTGGGATTCAATCTCCAGTGCTAAATAAAAAAGAAACATCTTTTATCCCCCAATTATTGTAATATTTCTATCAGTGTCCACATATTTTAGAAGTTTTTGGGGAAGAATGATAAATAATGCACAATTAATTTTGTTTATGAAGCACCAAAAAAATGTTAATTAAAAGGTCACAGCATCTTTTAATAACAGTCAAAACTGTAAACAACTCATGTTTACCAACAGATGATTTAATAAACTGTGGCATCTACATCACATGTAATAAAAAGAATCCTGATGATATGTGCAATGAAATGTACAAACCTCAAAAAAACTGAGTAAAATAAGCCAGATTTTAAAAAAGTATATATACCATATGATAGCATTTATACAAAATGCGGATGTGAACACTAATGTTTAGCAAGAAAAAGACTCCTAGGAAAACCACAGAAAGGTGTCAATAACTAGGAAGAAGAGATCCCCGACAGCATTAAGACATTTTGGGGATGATGTCAAGTCTCATTACACTGAACAGGATCATACTTTCATGTGTCAAATTTAGGCTTTAAATATGCACAGTTTGTTGTGTATCAACTACACACCAATAAAGCTGTTTTTTTTAAAGCTGATGGTAATGTATAGATTTGAATAGGTATCTGATTTGCTCTTTATATAGAGGGTGGGTTTCTTAAAACAAAACAAAACAAAAAAACAACTTACTTTGCATTTCCAGCCATTGGTTGGTACTGATTTCATAACTGGTTGAAGACAAAAAGTATGATACCCTTTGTCACACGTATCACACACTAGCATCTTGCTATCTTCTCCCGATTGTCTAAAAAATAAGATAGCATTAATGATGCCTTAAACTTATATTTTGGAATGTAAGTATACATGAAAAGAATCAGTTGTAGCAACTTCACAGTTCGTATATTCCTCGGTGTCCGCTTTGTCTCTGCATAGACAATGCAGGGGTAACCCCTACCAAAAAAACCTAAAGAATTATCCTTAAAAGATCATCTGTGGTTAACTTGCTTTAGTCATCTGAGGATTCCCCTAAATGTGGATAGATTAGGACAAGATGAGTAACTTTTTCTCCAGGCCAAACCTATGGAACACGATACAAGTCACCCCATTATTAGCCAAGCATTCAGGTTTAATTGCAGTATTGGTATCCTGAGATAAACAAGTGGGTTTTGGGTTACAGTTTTGGCACTCAGTTTCTAAAAAGTTCACCACCACTCATCTATACTTTTCAAATGGCTAATATCCATCTTTTGAGGAGGGAAGGAGCTGAAACTGCTAAGTGATAATGTGTCAAAAGGAACATATCCTGGTACTGAAAACAGGAATGACATTGTCCTCTTTAACAAAAGAATCCAATTTGGCATGGGATCTGTATTTATACTCAGGCTACTGCTGTCTAGCTGTAGGACCGCTTATCAATTTGGACTAAAGATGAGTTTCAGGTATAAAATAGGAACGATCAGCAAAGATTTCTGTAAAAACTAAGTATGTCAGTTGAAGAATTTAGACTATTTTTAAGTAGTAAGTGTTAAATTGTATGCATGAATAAAAATAATCTTGTTAAGAATTACAGTTGAAAACCTGGAGCATTCTCTTAACACTCTTTGCACCCCCACCCCGTGCCACAACATGATCACTGTCTCAATTCTTGGCAATTAACCGCTCTCTAAACTAAGAAGTTAATTCAACAAGAGGGAAAAGAAATGGGATATGTAGGGGTTAAGTCAGTTATACTCAGTTCAACAATTCTACATGTGAAGTTCCATGTTACATATCTTTAGCTACATGGAAAGCCTTGGAAGACAAGCACTCTATTCAAGTTCTCTTAAGTTCTTCCCAAGAAGCTGAGTGCAAATATACGGTACTGAATAAAAAGTTGTTGATATTTTACTTAATTTTTACCAAAATAGGAAGGTAAAGGGTCTGATTTATTCTAAGACATAGATGCTCAGTGCTATTACATTAAATAACCAATAAAACATTGATCATGGCAATGCAGGTTATAGTTTCCTCCTCATTATAAAAATTCTCAATTTATAAACAGGTTTAAAATTGCTGAAGATGCTGGTAACATCCTCAAATTATTGCTCTCATTAGAGAATTATCCTAGTGAGGGGTCAGAGAAGACCTGGAAAAAAGATTAAGGGATGGAACGCAGCAAATAGGAAAAGATAACAGTATGACAAATGTTTAATGCCACACAATACTTCTTTTAAAATTATGTTAACTACAACAATTACGTTAACCTACACTGGAGGTAACTGTCTTTCAGATACATTCAAAGATTTTATTACAATAATAGTCTTAATAGAAACTTTTCTTCCTGCAATAGAAATTCAAACATTTTGAGGGACTTCAACTCTCGCAATTAATTTCTATAGTCAGAACTTCATTTTAAGGTTGGTATGCTGGCACACTCTTGTATTCCCAGCACTGGGGAGGCTGAGGCACGAGGATTGTTACAAGTTCGAGACTATTCTAGGCTACAAAATGGGCCCAAGGCCAGCCTGAACTGCACAGTGAGACCCTGTCTCAAAATCACCCCTCCAAATCATTTTGCTCTTAAATCTCCTCCCCAATTCCTCTCAAGAAAAACTTTTTTGTTTAAATTATTAACATCACTTATTTACAAACTGTTGGCACATTTAAATTTTTAAACAACCATAGGAATTTACATCACTAAAATTAGCTTTGTTTACACACCTGTTTCAAAATAATAGAAGATTTAAGGGAGGAAGTGAGTTTAGTCGCAAAACAAAAGAAGTTTTTATCATATTATATAAAGCTTACACACCTAGTGACAAAGTCCCTCCCTCTTAAACTAAATACACACCTCTGAGTTGAAAATAAAACTTACTTGCAGTTCTGGCACACTTTGCACTCAGGACATTGCCAACCTGCACGTTTTAATGGAGTGACCGCTATATCCAGGCACATTCCATGATAGTGCTGACCACAAGTAGTACAAAAGAACTGATCTAAGAGGTCTCCCGGGCTGTCGCACACTGCACAGTTTGCATCTTCCTTTGCTACAATTAACAGCAAAACAATGAAATTGTTGCATAAGAATTTAATATTTTTCTGACTTAATAGTTTAAAAATCAAAGGAAATTTGCATAATAAACCTTTCAGATGTTTGAAGTTACCCATATCTAACTGACATTCAGTCAGAATAAGATCTCTATCAAAATACTGTAGTATATTTAGTCTAAATTTAACCATATTAAAATTAATCGTGTAGTTCTGCAATTATTTGTGTCTATATCTACTTGAGACCATAAGCAATTCTTTCTTTCTCTAGTACCAAGGATAATACCATGCATTTAGTTAATGTTTAATACATACTTGCTGTAAAGAAGCAAACAAGGAGGGGAAAAAACCTCAGATGCTTGCAATGTAAAAATAAATGATTTATTTGAATTCAGTATTCAGAAATTACAATATAACAGACAAAATTAAGAAATATTAATGCTAGTGAGATTTAAATGCTTAACTATAAACATATTATTCAAATTGACTAAGAGTACTTTTTTTTTAAATACTGGAAAATGATTTACATAAGAGTACACTAAAGACAGAAGCAACATACGGATACATGAATATAATATTTAATACACTACTCCTCTACTCACACTGATTTCCTGTTGTAAAAGGGTAAAAATTCACATTCTTATAGATACTATCTATTCCTAAATGACAATTAAAAGGAAAGATGCTTCTAGTATTTCTATTACTATCAAACACACACACAAAAAAATGTAAAAATAAACGTATCACTTCGCCCAATCCCAGTTAATTACAGTTATATTACAAGAAGAAAATCTGTGTGTTCTAAGCTCATACCAATTTTGCTTAACAGAAATGTGTTACATCTAAAATATATCACAAAGCAGAAGGATCTCTTCCCAACCCTGTGTGGTTTAAGGTTTGCTCAGTCCTATTTACTCCTCTGTAACTAAAGCATTTCCTACCTTTTCTTTCTCATCAAGCATCTTGAAAAATAGTAGTAATAAATTTCATTCACTTGTGCCAAGAACCAACAAACTTTTACTGCACAGGGCTGGATATTAAAATATTCAGGCCTTATAAGCCTTTCAGTCTCTCTAGTATGGACTTTTTGTTATTATTTACAAACCTTTGAAAATGTAGACAGCATTGGTAGCTTAACGGCAGTTAATAATATAGCAGCCATGATTCGTTCTCTGTTATTTGGTTCTGAATACCCTGTAATACTTTCATTCTCTTGAATGGTTTTATACTATGTTGTTTGTTTGATACTATCGTATATGAAGTTATGCTCAACTATTTCAAAGAAAGAGACATGGTAGTTACTGTTTGGGTTGTCTTATGGTAGAATGCTGTGTTGCTTATTGTTCTGATCTTATCTGCTTGATGTCCTCTTTTGTCTTAATCTCTTTAAAATAAAATTTTTAAAAAGGTAGTTAAAAAAAAAAAAGTCTTGACTCACTAACGCCTATCACTGACCTGAACCTACTTTAATGGGGCTGCAAACTGCCACCTGAACTCCAGCCCGTACTTTTAAGAGCCTGCTTTATTTGTACTTAGCACCCCCTTATTTAAATTTTCATTCCTTCGCAACTCACTCCTCACTTCTTCGGCTTCCCATTTCTTGGTCTCATTCTCCTTTTTTGGCTTCTGTATCTCTGCTGATATAATCCTTATAACTGCTGAAGTCTGCCAAAAATTCATCTTGCTTCTTCTTTTCTAATGCCCTAATTTTCCTCTGTAAACACTATGATTCTGACCTCTGGATTACTAGCCCAGTCTTCTTTGGTAAACCCTAAACCTTTATTTTTAAATATCATTGAAGCTAAATAGTCAGATTTTCTAAAAATATATTAACAACTCTAAAATGAAACTTAAAAATTCTTCCTTTTCCCTCAACAGAATGGGTAAAAAGGTATTATTCCTGACTTCTCCTTCCTCCAACACATCTGCCCAGGTATCAATTCTTACTTGTTAAACTTTATATAATCATCATTTTTCCTTGTTTTTCTCAATTCTGTCCATCACATACTGGCTTAATAATTACAGTATCTTCTAAAAAGAATCATCCCAATTTAAGATCAGAACCACTCACTATGTCCTCATCATAGCAAGTAGCCTGTTACATCCCTAACACAACCTTCCCTTCACAGTCTCTGCTCTTACCCATTCTGTCCCCTCTGCTGGAAATGCTAGCCTATCCTTCCACTTCAACCCACTGCAAAGCCTTCAGCGTGCCCACTCAAACACATTTCCTGCAGATCTATCATCACACCAAAGCACTCACCCTGGCGGCTGAGAATTTCTTTTCCCCATTTGGGTGGAAGAAATTTCTCTTACATAATCAACTTAAAACACTACTATGAGACTTTGGAAGGAAAGAGACTTTATCTTCTCCACTTTTTGTAGCTCCAACTGCTTAGCACAAATCAATGTTTTTTTACTCCTAAAATCACTTTTAACTGGCTCTTTAACTGGCAGGCATCAAAATTAAATCATGAATCTAAAAGTAGTAGTCTTAAAGCCATTTTGGTTTTTGATAGAAAGGACATACTAAAAGACAGTACCAGTATTTTCACCCTTTCAAGCTGTGACATTTAGAAATGAACAATAATTTTTACCCAGAAAATATTAAAAATTAAGGAAAGCACATTAATTACAGATACTCAGCTTACCTTTCTATTACAGTTTTCCAGAATGAATGTCTAAAGTGCTCGTGTAAAGCTTCCTGGGTCTGCTATTCTACCACTTCAACTTGCAGCTACCAGCAACATGTAGCTATTGGGCATCTGCAATATGACTAATCCAAACTGAAATGTACACTACATATAAAATATATTCTGGCCTCCAAAGGCTTAAAAAAAAAGTATCTCAAAACTTTCTGTATAGTGATTACATGTTGAAATACCAGTACCTTGCATAGCAGGGGTTAAAATATATTAATAAAATTTCATGTCAAATATTCACATTTTTAACATGACTTTGAGAAAAATTTTAATTACTTATGTAGCTCACATTACACTTCCCTTTCACAGAGTAATTCTATACAACAAAACCAACTCTGGAATAAGACAACATTCTATACCATGTGACAATTATCACTTTTTAAGTTTCTGGCAATTCCTTATAGACAGACAATCTTGTTTTTAATTACCACAGGACACCAGTAATAAAAAATGTGTTACATCCAGTACAAAAACCATTTACTATATGTTATGTAGCAAATAGCAAAAAGAGCACTGTGCAAAGCAATGATGTTGGTTCCAACCTCTTCCCTGGTATGGGAGCAAATACATGCAGAGATATTACAACAGTCTTCTTGAAGTCATATATATGATGATGTTACTAGATAGCTTTGATGTTATGCCAGAGGGAAAAAAGCATATGTGTATTATATACATTACACAATATATATGATACACCTATATGTCTGTACACTGCAGATTTATTAGGACAGCAATAATCAAGCAACTAAGAGGAAGTTTAAGCAGTTGGAAAAGAGGGAAATGGAGAAGCAAAAACAAAAGCTATTTTAGAGAGGGCAAGAGTAAAATCCAAGTCTACCTGGCTCCAAAGATCATACTTTTTACTACCTACTAATCAATACTGACTCATAAACAAATTTCACTACTAATCAGTGAAAGGAAAGAATACCTGAGTATACACAAAAAGTAGAAAGCAAAAGTGCCAGCAGAGGCAGAGAGGATACAAAAAGCCAAATGAAGCAGGGGGAGCAAGGTTCTTATGTAGAAGAAAAGTGAAAAAACAGAAGGATAAACTTTGAAGATGCTCATTTCCTAAGTGACAGCTGTGGAAAACGAAGAGAAAAAGGAAAAGACAAACACTGAACTTAAATTTAAAGGGGGCTTATCAGAGATTCTTAAATTTGCTCAACTTGGAAGATGATACTCTGTGCTTAAGGAAGTCAGAACAGCATAAAAGAGTAAGCACTAGTGAAGAGCAATCGAGATCAAACTGCTGTCATACAGAACCAATTGAAGAAAGACAAAATCAGCACACTTTTGTAAAGCAATTAACCTAGATGAAGCACAATGCTAGGTAATTTCCATTAATTACTATCATTTAATCATTGTAATGCTGAAATTTAAGATATACGCATTTTAAAAACATTTAAAAAAAAAAAATACCTTGCGCCATGACCTACAATTAAAATAGAAAGTACTGCTGGAGGCAGCAGTGTAGTCGATCTGCAATAATCTTTAAATCATATGCTTGGATTAAGACAGATGGCCCAAAAGCATTGAATTTAACTGCATAATTTAAGGTCCCCAAGGAACAGAATTTATTTAACTGCACACTGGTTTTACATTCCTGGCTTAGTTTAAGGGTTGTTATAAACAATAGCCCACAGAATATGTTTACACTAACAGGCAGCTACCTTTAAAGACATTTTCTACTACAACATGTAGTGTTAACTTATCCTCTAGTCTCAGTACCAAATGAGTTCTTGTTGTATGTACTGAGAATTAGGTACATACTTATATTTCCTTCTTGGTGTTGTTGGTTTCTAGAAAGGTTTAGTGAAATTTGTGGTTTGTAACCCAAAGTACAAACTACTTCGGATTATTAGTCCTACCATTACTTACATTTACCTAATCTGTATTTCCCATGGCCAAATACCCTTGCATTAGTCTTATTTTATCCTATTGTTCATGTATTTTTAAGAATCACCATAAGTTTATTTTAGACTCAAACAATGAGTAGTTTCAGTGTGTATTTTAATTGTAGGCTGCCAACATAAAACTTTCACAAACTGCATGATAAATGAGAGCAAATCATCTCACCTCATTGATACAGTTCATTATGTTACAAACTGATTTATGATCTCTGATGTAATGGTGGATATTCATTATAAGAACACAGTCATCAGCAGAAAGCAATAGTGCATTAGCCATTATTGGCTAACATTAGAAACATATGTGCATCGAAGTTTGCATGTTTTTTACTGAAGTCTAAAGCATCACTGAATCTAAATGGCTGAATAAAATTCATATTTACACACACATGCACGCAAACACACACACAGACTTATTTTTATTTGGTAGGCAAAACGTATCACTCTACCCAAGATATAATCAACTCTGATGACTCATCTTTGTTTACACACGAAGTGAAAAAATTCACGATATACACAACAGTTATTCTGCATGAGTGTTCTTTTACTTCCACATTTTACAGTGTGTACTCAAAAGCATTTTTTGAATTCTAAATCTTTTATTTATTAGTCTAAATATAACACGAAATTTCAGTTGACTTTACCTATAACTTAAGCTTCAGTAGTGAAAAAGGGGATACTATTACATTTGTGGACACAAAGTAGTTTTAACTGAACATAAAATTAAACTATAAAATAAAGATAAAAAATAATAGTATAGTCTAACTGTGTTTGAAATTACTTGTAGATTAAGTCTACAGTAGCTATATTAATATTTCATAGATCTCGACTAAAGACAGAAATAAAAAGCGTTTGTCAATATTATTAAGGAAGAGGTAAAAGCTAGCAATTAAGTAAGAGGCAACATTAAAAAAAAGACAATAAAATATGGAGATTTCCTAGTGAAACTAAAAATTTACTAGGTAAAATAAGGCCTCAAAACATATATACACATTAGAAGTCCATACAGTGAAAAACATTAGCTTTGTTTTGTGATAAAACAATAACAAGTTTTACTTCTCTGTACGACACAGAATTCACACATTTAAACATTTTCAATGAACTGTAAGTTTATTAAATACTATTGGGAAAAGAAAAAAAACGCACCACTGCAGATTACACACAACCAATATAGATGGTTTCAAAATTTAAAAAGGATTACAGAGATCTGTATCACACTGTTAAGGCCATCAGTGTGCAGGAGTTCAGTAAGTATTTAATGTTCCTGTAATAGATATCTTGAAATAATATTGGAGAAAGTCAGCTTTGAACTTTCTCATTAGACGCTATTCTTTTTAAAAGACATGGAATACTACTTAGCCTCTTAATAAATTGCTTTATAATACATATTGGAAATAATGCTTATTCAATTTGTATTTCTACAGTGTTTCAAACAATTTTTTAAATAAGAGTATAAAACCTACAAGCTCTCTCTGAATTTCTGAGTTAGCAACTTCTTGGAATTAATTTCAAAGAAGCTGTTGATAACAAATTTCCCTTAAAGGACCTATGGCAAAGATCCCAGTCTATTAGGATTATGAACATCATACTTTAATACCAGCAGAACACCAGGCAATTTACATATATTATTTTAAGTAAATGCAATGACAACAGTTTCAAAATATATTTAAAGTAAACTTACATCTTTCAGGAGCTTGGTCAATGTGTTCTGGACAAAGAAGGAAGAAGTGACTGAAGTCCTGAAAGGTACCAGCTCCCGCAGCACAAGGATAATGGTACATCTGGGTACATTTCTCTTCACAGCATTTGATAGTGGCTCCAAGATGCTTACAAAATGCACATCGCTGGAAGGAGATAAAGGACAGATACCTCTTCACAAAACCTTAAAAAGAAACATTTGAACATAGGCCCTGGGTGCTATTAAAAACAAACAAACAAAAAAAAACTTGTCATTTTTACCTCACTAGCAAAACTGATTTGAACCTCCACATGAAGAATCAGTTAGCCAGGCATGGTAGCGCATGCCTATAATTCTAGCACTCAGGAATGTGAGGCAGGAGAATCACTGTGAGTTCAAGGCCATGCTGGGCTACTAAGCAAGTTCAGGGCCAACCTAAACTACATAGTGAGACCCTGTCAAAAAAAGACAAACAGATAAACGGACAGATGGAAGGAAGGAAGGAAGGAAGGAAGGAAGGAAGGAAGGAATCCCTCAAAAACTAGAACAGTTAAAACCAATAAAATCTAAGGTACTCAAGTTCATTGCTTTATATACTACCAACTCATCCTTCCATTCAAACTAAAAATGTAGCACTTTTTTCTATCAAGTCTATCAAAAGTATACAACTAAAGGTCTGCTGTGAGTTCAAGGCCAGCATGACCCCTTCTCAAAAATAAACAATTACAAAGCTAATTAACAATACTTGGGGATAAAGAGGATAAAGGAAATCACTGCTAATGGTGTACCAATTAAATGATGTATTTGAATCAACACCTTAAAAACACAGGTAGCATTTCGTATTTTTCTCTTTCTTAATCACTGCAGAAAAAAAGATAAGAAAGAGAAGAAAAAGTAATATAAAGCAGATTTTTGAAATCAATCCAAAAACACGCGGTAGGGGGCAAGCAAGGGAGGGAAAACTCATTACCAGTTGCCTTGGTTACTCTTCTCCCCTTGTTGGGACAAAACACCCCACACCGAAAATGAAGGAAGGAAAGGTTTATTCAGCTCACTGTCTGTGTAAGTTTCAGTCCACAGTCAGCTGGCTCCAAGGCAGGATGGCCTGGCACTGGGCCAACACTTCAAGGCAGCAGCCAGAGCCAAAAAAGGAGGTAACAAGCCTCTTCTCCCTTACACTATACATAGGCTACTCTCTTCCACCCCACCCCAGTCCAGAGTAGCAGTCCCAAAATCTCTGTGACCTCCTCTTGCACAGGATATTTTACAAAGTAAGGATCCTGGCTCCCTGCTGAGTCTCTCAGTTAAACTTCTAAACTTCTCCAGTGGATATAATACATCAACCATAATACCAATTTTAAGAGTGAAACAGTTTAACTCCCTCAAAGTTTAACTACACTAACACAAAAGTAGTCTCAAAAATAAATCTATAATAATAACAAAACAGATCTACCAATGTTCAGAGCTGAATAAAATTTGTGTCATGAAACAAGAATAAGAAATCCAAGGATATATCAAAACTCAATGAGTTATCAAGTAACTATTTTATAACAAATATAGCAACAGTTTGAGGCTAGTTATTCAAAATATCATACATAAGTAAGCTTTCCACACTCCAAAACTGTAAATTTAACCAACCAATTCTTATTATTAATCCCTGGGATTATTGCAAAATACAGTAATAAACAACACAGGGAGAGCAGAAAGGTAAATAACAGGGAAAGTTGATCATAAAGTACAGACCTATTTGCCCAAATACTTTTAGAAGGAGGAAAATAAGTAAAATTATAGTAACAGAAATTATTCCAAAAGTAAATTTATAAAGTAACCTAATAACATAAACTAACACTTCTTAAATATAATCCCTATTTAACAGATGAGAGACATACCATACAGAGCCCTGACGTCTAATACACTGACTTCTGAATTCCTACAGAAATATCCGGGTTTGTTGGTACATACATATAACCCCAGCAATAGCACCTCAAATTTGAGTCCAGCCTAGCTAATTTAGCATAAACTTGTCTCAAAATAAAAAATTTTAGCTGAGTCACCCATAATCCCAGCACTTGGGAAGTTAAGGCAGAAAGATAGCCATGAGTTTAAGGCAAGGCTGGATAACACAGAGGGGGGGGGGCAGTAGCGCCTGGGAATGTAGCTCATTGTGAAGGTCCTATCCTGGGTTCAATCTCTCATACTGGTGTGGGGAGTGCTGCTTAGCCTTAATCTCTGTCACAATTACTCCCTAAAAATGGTAAAGATCAGCTTCAGATTAAAACATGCCACATCAAGAAACACTGGCAAAACTGTAACAAGGACACAGGAAAATTTTTGGTAGCCTCACAAAAGAAAAAGAAAGATTATTTCCAAAGACAGAGAGATTGGGCATTAGCAATACTAAATAAAAGAAAATCTTCCAAGGTCTATAAAAATATTATTTGACATTTAATGCTGGTTAAACTAACAAACATTCAGTTCATGGTCAACAAATACAGACAGATTACATTCTTATTCTCTTTTAATAGAGAAGTATACAAAAACATACTTTTATTCACATGTACCTCATATATAATACATACACTTTTATATATGCATGCGTAGTGAATACATACACAAGACACAATGACACACACAACTCAAAAATAAAGAGCTGGAGAGGGCCTATCCAAAATATACAGCCATGGAGGTCTGGGGGGTTTAGCTCAGCTGCATAAGCGCCTGCCTTGCAAGCAGGTAGTCGTGAGTTCGATCCCTGGTACTGATAAAAACGAAAAAAACCAAAAAAAAAAAAAAAACCAAAAAAAAAAAAAAAAAAAAAAAAAAAACCACCAAAATATACAGCCAGGTGTGGTGGCACACATCAATAATCCCAGCACTTGGGAGGCTGAGATAGGTAGACTGCTGCAAGTTGGAGTCCAGTCTAGGCTATAAAATGAATTCAAGCTCAGCATGAAAGGATAGTGAGATTCTATCTCAAAATAAAACAAAATATGCAAGTATGCTAATGCTGATAGCAAAGTAAAGAGAATGCAAATTAAAAAATGGTAAACAGATCAATAACAGAGTTCATATATGTCAGTCATATGCTATAGCATAAAATCAACAGAAGAAAAAATAGTTATTAAAGTTTATGAACCTATTTATCCATATATAAAAGTAAAACTGAATAAAAACACAAGCAAAAACTGGACTGTGACACACCTCTCAAAAATCAAGCTATTAAGCAGATATGAAACAGAAATAAAGAACTTAATACAACTGTATGCCAGAAACAAAACACACAGTCTATTGAAATGTAACCAAGAACCACGCTGCGTCCGGGAGGTGTACAACAAGAAGCCAATCTGTCCTTCCCATAAATCACACAAGGAAGGCAGGGGCCCACGAAGAGAGGAGCCGGTTTGTCTCTCCCATGAACTGACTGGCATACAGGCAGCCCCTCCAAGCCCCTGAGCAATAGGTTGGTTCAGAGGATAGGCTGAGTTGATAGTAACTGTGGTACAAAAACAACTAAATGCATGTAATGTTGTTGTTGTTGTTATTTTGCATTGTTTGACTGACTTTGCAGGCCCAAGGCCAGCTGTCTGAGCATCTACTAGGATAACAGTATACAATATAGCAAATAGGGGGATTTCCTTCTGTCTTGTTTTTGAAATCCAATATTGTTCTCACTGTTTAGTTTTGTTCCAATTTATTGTTTTATTTGATGTTGTTTTAATTGGTTTTATTCAGTTTTGTTTTATTTGATTTTATCATGTCTGATGGTAATGGACAACTGCAGTAAACATAACAAGAGGTATTACAGTAACCATTGTAGATTTCCTGTTATCTTGTTTTGAACTAATAACCACTTTCACAATTTTGTCTTGATTGGCTTTATTCTGTTTTATTTGGTTAGGTTTTATTCTCTTTAATAAAAATTAAAAATAAAATAAATATACATGAAATATACATGAAAAAATTCACCACATAGATGATACTTCATAGAAGTTCTTAAGGGAGCACAAAGTTAGCCAAAGAAATATGATTAATATGCAGGATTTCTTGAGCATTTCTTATTACTGCAAGCAACCAGCCTGAGCATGTAAAAAGAATTAGCTTATTGAAGTCTAAGAACCACCACTTTGGATAGACAACATTATTTCTCATTTTATAAGTGAGACACAGAGATGTTAAGCTCCGTGCCCTAGCTCACAGAGCTGAAGAGGAAACAAAAAAAGATAAAGGTAATAAAGGCAAATTCCCTTACTTAACTGTAAGAATATACTGAATACTTTGTTTGGTTTATATAGTCACTTTCATTCCAGTTATAAAAACTAAGGTAACTAGTTTTGCATTAGATATCCATAACATACTAACTTCTCATACTTACAAAAGGACATGTACTAGAAAGCTCGTAAAATACTACTCACAGTACCTGAAAATGAAAACCCGCCCCAAAACAAAGAGTAAAATAGTTATTTTACAGTACTCTGACAAGAAGCACTCTATGTGTCAATGAGAGCAAGTGAAAAACTAAGCAAGAACTTGAATCTCACAAACATTACTGCATGAATAAGATAGAAATAGTACTCACTGTAATCGCTCCACTACAGAAACAAAGTACAGGCTAGGATGTAGTGCTGATACTAATGGTAGTGCTTGCAATTAGCATTATGTAATGTACAGTACACTAGAAAAGAGTGGTGCTAGACTTCAAATAAAAAGCTTCCTCAGCCTTACTGGTATAAAAACACAGATAAAGCTCAACAGAGCTTTATGCTAAGCAGAATGGAGACTGAGAAACTCACTGCAAAGAGGGAGTCACAGAAAGCAGGCCTCCAAACTTTCAATAAACTCCCACAGCTGTTATAACCCCAAAACGTGTATTCATAGAGGTGCTCTGAATATCTCAGGGGACTGGACTGCAGACTAAGCGGAATTACAATAATAGTTTGGAATGTAAATGCAGCCTTAATATCCTTCTCAGAACAAAACTTGACACTGTCTACAACAAAGTAATAGAATCTAATACCAGCACCTTACCACCAATGATGCTTTAAAAATTCTAGACATATGGGGAGGAAAAACTATAGCAAAAATAGAACTTACAATATTCAACAGAACATAAGCAGACTTTAAAGCAGCTGTTGAAAATACATACAACATAACAGCTATTTACAACCA